TTTTTGCCAGTTTTGCGAATCATCAATATAGGTATTATGTTGAAAGGGAAATCCTGTTTTCAGATCTAGGAGATAATCTGTATTCCCATGAATGCCCCTTACGTTTGAGTCCTCAAGTGTAAATATACCCATTCTTTGTATATTTCTGGTATACGTTGAGAAAATAGAAATGAAATTATCTAATAATAACTTATCATAATTTGCTTTCGTATTCTAAACCGTAAAAGGTGAGATTTTGGTCTCTATACACATAATAGACAAACAGAAACACAACATAATCGTTCAAGAATCAGGAAGCCGATTAGTACAACTTTGTGTTCCAATTTAGTTCGTTTCTCACATACTGAAATAGTATTTTTACTGGCTATTACTATTATCAATCTGTCGCTCATTTGAGCTGCATTTATTTACCATTACAATTTTCTAACAACATTTACCGAACAACATTAAAATAAGAGCGAACTAGTCGACACAATACATTTCTTAGAAAACCATTTGTCTGCTTCCATTTCAAATGCACATTTTTACTGTACTCAACAGCACTATGCTAATATTTTTAAAAGAGAGAGTGTTAAATATATAACTTTCGTTACCATTTTAAGGTGTCGCTACTAATAGAAGCTACTTTAGATTTTCATTTTTTTTAGTTCCTGATATTCTTACGAAATTCACACGTCTTTACGGACCAGCGAAGCAACGTTAAACTTAAAGAATCTGGTTTTAGCGCTGCCGTTTCCTGCACTCAATAGAATGTTTGTCCGTTACTACATGTGCATGTCACTGAAAGTAATTGCAATGACACTTTTTATACATATATTCAACCTAAGCTCTGATAAACAATAGGAGTTCATCCTACGCTTTTTTACACGAAAGACGTTTGCCAAAACAAAAAATTAATTTACATAACATGTCGATCCACATTGTTTTGGCAAAGAAGTTATTGTTATACAGTGCACTGTTCAATACTGCTATTTTTTGCTCATCAGCTGTTGGCTTTTAGTCTGTTTCAACATTGAAGACGTACAAAGACAGTGCTCAATATTGACAATTATAAACTTGGTATACTGTTAATCGGTTCTTTCCAGCAAAAAATCCCTGATAGTTTGGAATTGAACTGGAACAATGAACCCGCACGGTTATTAAGTAAAAAACCTATATAATATAAAAACGATAAAATGTCAACTTGTTGCCTAGATAACTGGTAATGTGCAAATCATTAGCATTAGCCCCTACTGAGCGAGGGCCGTGGCAAATGCTTGTTCCGGAAGTTGTTGTATCCAGTATACAACTTCTTCCCGTCCAAGTGATTGTGCACGCGTTAAGGAATACCTCAGTACCGATTGCCGGGTGGCGGTACAAGTCCGCCAACGGGCCACTTTAGGTCTATTTAACATCACTAACACGTAAAAAGAAGGTGGTAGACAAGGACCAGTCGACCGAGGCAGTACCACCCGCTAGCTTTTCCCAGGGTGTCTTATAAATGTCCGCATGTTTCCACACCTAAGCTATGCAGTCGGTTAACTACCAAAACAAAGAAATTAACGATGATGGATCCCTCGAGCACTAAAAACTCCGGACGTAAACTCACTCCACTCTCGGAATGTCCGGGTGGAGGGTGGGCTCGAGGGAACAACATCGAAGATAAAATTTGTTTTTCGAACATCTGCGGGATCAACAGCAACATTGATGCTGTTCATCACTACCTGCAATCCAATCGTCCCGCCGTGCTTTTCTTGGCGGAGACAAAAATCTCAGAGACTACACCGATTAACCATCTCAACTTCCCAAACTACGAGGTGCACTCCAATCTGAGAAAGAACGGGGGAGTTGTGGCTTTTGTCCGCAGCAGTCTTTCCTGCTCCAGGGATCTTTCTTTGGAATCAGACCGGAAGGACATTCTGTGGCTTCGCCTCAACTCCAAAACATCACCCAAATTTATTTGCTGCCTTTATCGCTCTCCCTCGAACCATAACTGGGACGACCTACTCGAATACCTCGCCGTCCAGATCGACTTCCTGAACATCAATCACGGTGATTTCAATGTCCATAATGAGCTTTGGTTGGGCTCAAATAAGACCGATGCAGCAGGTCGTGCAGTCGAAGCGTTCGCTCTTACTCAAGGGCTGACCCAGCTGGTAACGAGCCCTACTTTTTTCCCCCGCGTCTCGTCACACGTCAGTAGCCTGCTGGATCTCTTTCTGACCACGCATCCTGCTCCTTACAGCACTGCTGTCCTGTCCCCCCTGGGTAACTCAGATCACGGTGTTGTGGAGGTTAGGTTTCGGTCAGAAGCCGCTGTGGCAGCAGAAACTCGCACAGGCCGCAAAACTTGGCATTACGGACATGCCGACTGGGAGGGGCTCAGAGATTTCTTCTCTAGCTTTCCTTGGAGAGATGTCTGTTTCAATGACGCGGATGCGTCGACTGTCTGTTCTTCAATAACCGAAATTATCCACGTCGGAATGGAGGAATACATCCCTCACACAGTGAAAGTTCCTAAACCAGGGTCCAACGGCTGGTTCAACAAATCGTGTGACACTGCTCGCCAGCAGAAGATCAAGGCCCACAGAACCGACTTACAAAACCCCACTGTAGAGAACAGACAAGCCGACGTCGAGTCCAGAAACAAATATAACGAAGCGGTTCGCAATGCCAAAAACCAGCATGATATAAAAGTTAGGCACAGGGTAATGTCGCAGCGCAATGGCAGTCGGTCTTTCTGGACGCTGGCCAAGCAGATTGAAAAGAACTTCTCACACAGTAGCCTTCCACCACTTACGTGTCAGGATGGAACTATTGTATTCGACTCAAAGGCCAAGGCGGAAGTGCTAGCCAAGATCTTTGCTGCCAACTCCACCATGGACGTCCCCACCAACGCCCAAGTGCCGTCAATTCAAAGGGTTCCCCACACTATGCGGGAGGTAACATTCAGGCATAAGACCGTAAGACGAGTGCTCTTGTCGCTCGACATCAACAAAGCTTCTGGTCCGGACTTGATTCCTGCCATTGTACTGAAGAGATGTGCAGCGGAGCTTGCTCCAGTTCTTTCGCGTCTCTTCCAGATATCTTATGAATCCGGCACCTTCCCAGAAAACTGGAAATTTGCTCATGTACAGCCCATCCCAAAAAAAGGATCTAAAACCGACCCTTACAACTACAGGCCTATAGCTCTGCTTTCTGTTATAAGTAAAGTGATGGAGAGGTGAAAAAATCGCGAGCTTCTGGACTACCTTGAACGTCACAGCTTGATTAGCGACAGGCAGTACGGTTTCCGGCACCAACGATCCACAGGGGACCTCCTAGCTTACGTCACGCAACTGTGGAGTAAACTCATCCAGTCTCATGGTGAAGCTCATGTCGTTGCTCTTGACATCACGAAAGCGTTCGATCAGCTGTGGCACGCTGCCCTCTTAAGCAAACTTCCATCCTACGGCCTCCCAGAAAAGCTTTGCAGATGGGTGGCTGACTTTATCTCTGGCCGCAAGATATCCGTCTTAATTGACGGATTCTCATCTTCATCCCACAACGTCAACGCGGGTGTTCCCCAGGGATCGGTCTTGGCTCCAACACTGTTTCTCTTACATATCAACGACCTCCTTTCCTGCACGATCAACCCAATCCACAGCTTCGCTGATGACAGCACTCTACATGCAGGAATTCAGAGTGACAAGCCGATCTCTGCCGCTGAGCTGGAAAAAAGAAGACTAGCGACGACTTCTTCTCTGACAAGAGACCTGGAGGCTATCACTGCTTGGGGACGCAACAATCTTGTACAGTTCAATGCTTCCAAAACACAGTACTGTACTTTCACGAACAAAAAGCGACCTAGCGCTCATACAGTTTCGATAGACGGTCGAGTTCTACCAAAGAGCCATTCATTTCGGCTGGTCGGAGTTCAGATCAGCGAGGACCTGATCTGGCACGAACACATCTCTTCAATAGCTGCAGCTGCTGGGAAAAAGCTAGGCTATTTGTTTAGGGCTAAGAAGTACTTTTCTCCGCATGACCTTCTCACTCTATACAAGGCCCAGATAAGGTCTAGCCTCGAGTATTGCTCACACATTTGGGGTGCTGCCGCCCCGACTACATTGTCCATGCTCGATGCTGTCCAGAGGAGGGCGGTCCGACTGATCGATGACTCTTCTCTAACAGACAGTCTCGGGACTCTTTCGCACCGGCGGGCCGTCGGCGATCTGGCTCTTTTCTATCGCTACACCAACGGGCTTTGCTCCTCAGAGCTCTTTTCCATGATGCCGCCGCGCGATGTGCCTGCCAGACAGACCCGCCTGACTTCGGCGCCCCATCCTAACAGGGTCAAACTTCGTACATCCAGAACTGGCCGATACGACCGCTCCTTTGTCCCGAGGGTGTCTAGATTGTGGAACAATCTACGGGAGGAAGCTTTTCCTAGTTCTACTAACCTTAGGCAGTTCAAAAATCGTATTAACAAAATTTCTTTGGGATCACCATAGCAGCCGCGGTGTTCCGGCATTTAGGCTTCTGCCTGCGCGGCTGTTTCGATATAAAAAAAAAAAATAGTTAAGTCAGCGCTTGCTACAAGTGAGCATGAAGCGATGGACAGCTAGTTCTTAGTTGACATATTTTAGGAAGAGCTGCATAATGTCATAACATGCTTACATGTAAAGAAAATCGACACTTTTCAAGTTATGTAATACCGCTGCCGATCAGAGTAGCTCGTAGCCAGGCAGCATGTTATTAATTTGTCTTGATGGCTGGCACTCCCTGACAGAAATTGTTTGTCGGAAATAACCAAATAACATTCAACTGATATGAATTCAGATTTGGTACGCATGAATCGAATCTGACGTATGAAATACTTACGTGCGAAGAGACTCCAGTGAATTCTGAACGACTCCTAAACTTAATGAGTCAGAGTGTCATACCAAAAAGTAATTATATCGACGAATTGTACAGAACAGAAACTTGTTGCTGATACGATGATATGATTCTATTCAAAATCAATTTGAAATTTTACTCACCAGTCGGAGGCCTCTCCTTAGGGTAACATATCCTAAATAGTCCTTTCGTTCTCGTATAGTAGTAGTACTTTGAGTTTACGCTATCTAGCAAACTTTGGCTTTGCGCATCTGGATGCCTGCTCAGGTAATTCTGAAACAAAATAATAAAATACATTATTTTGTTAACACTCAATTGTAAAGATAATAATACTGTAATACTAATCGGTAACTTGAACTACAAAAACCTTGCCGATACTTGCTTTGATGATATTGAACTGTTCGTTACTTCAACATTTTCCAGTTCGGCGTATAATCAGAATTCATGCATTACAATTTCAGTTTCTGTAGGATTTGACAGCTTTTGACGTTCATGGTATAAGTCTGTGAATGCGTCCATTTTTGGCATAATAATATGCTACTCGTACTAGGTTGTTTGTCGCTCATTTATCAAGAAAATTACCCAGGGAACGACGTTTTTGGCCAGGAAACGTTAAAGGATATTTTTATTGTTACGTATTCGATTCCCTCATCTCCAACAGTTGGCCTTCAGAACTTCCTGACATTGGGCATAGAACTAGAGCGCATGGTCTCACCTTTATATTAAAAAAATCCTTGATAAACCAGCAGCCGGAAGTATCATTGAAAGCAAAGAAAATAGAATGAGATTTATTACCATTCCTGCGTATTTAATATTGACTTTTTAGTATAAAATCTTATCTACCAAATTCAGCTACTATCACAGCGTTTGCCGATGGTTTGTAATGCTGACGATGCAACCTCAGGACGTTTCTGAGCATATATTACTGTTTCTAGTCTTTTTGACCAATTTTTCTGTGGAGAAATAATAGGAGCAGGTATAAAACAGGAGCAACCTTTGCGGCTCATTACAGAATGCTTTTCAAAAAGCTCAAATTCTAGTAATACTATTAATACTATATATATATGAGTATAAAACTAAGTGTTTACAGTTTCATGATGAAGTTTGGGCGCCATATTGGTTCAGAAATAAATAATTTCCTTTAAAAATGACAGACTGGCAGACTGTCACAGTTTAGCGTTTTTGTACATTGAAACACACATATAAATCAACAACCAATCATCAATCTCCTGCTTTGGAAGGATCTATTTGAACATGAAAAGAAGATTGATATACCCATAGCTTTTCATTATTAGCTGTTGAGTTATAAGCTATTTAATAAACACAAACTCACAACTTTGACAGCCCGCCAGTCCACCATTTTGAAATATAGTATATTTGTACATTTATGTCATGAACTACTGAGAATGAACTTCAAAATGAAAAATGAGACCCCTTCCGTTTAAAATAAATGTTCCAAAACTGCGTCCAACTGCTATATTGAAATTTTCAACTTTTACTTTTACCCTAAATATGGTAATCATGCATTAATTCCACCATTCCGCATCTCAGATTGCTGACTCAACCCATTCAAGATATGAGTAGGGAGGGGAACTTTCTGAAAACCACTGTATGTGTTTCCATCCATAACAGGGTCATTAAATATGAGAATAATACATGTACTCTAGTTCAGAAATCTCCACAAATAATTTTTTAGTGATACTCATGGTGCTGGTGTATATTTTAAACGGAATAGGTACCCCAAAAGGATTTTAAAAAGTGATGCTATATTTTTGTGTGGTCATGAAAGTATATTACTCAGAAATCATGCCTGGCCATTAGATCTATAACGCAACATCTCAACACAGTGCTGCCGTCTCTAATCACGTGGCATGTCAATTTCATACAGTGCATGTGCAATCAGAATAAAAAACCTGCACGAGGTCAAGTTCAAAGTGTGGCGTGCCGAAAAAGTTGAGCAATATATTCAAACTACAAGTATTTCAGCAATCCTATGCTAGTGTATAGGAAGTACTGACTCATTTTCTTAGTGCCATTTTTTTCTCTTGGAAATATTCCACTTCCCCGGGATACGATACGATCTCCCATGGTTAACAACTGTAGCAAGTGCATATAGCGGTGTTAATCTATACAATCTAATTTGCCGTATCCTGCCGTACACAAAGATCTAAATAGCGAACGTTTCATACTTTTATAGTTATTTTAAATGCAATTTTTAACGATTCGGTTACTCAAACCGGTGATTTCTAATTCTAATTCGTGTCTTTTGCAACCCGCAGGAAGTTTTACAACCGCCTGCAGGTTTGTCAAATGTAATTATACCTGATATCAGCACAGGAATTATTTGCAATATTAGATAAGCCGTCATTACCATGTCTAGTATGGAATAATTATTATAGACATTTTTCAATTGACCAGTTTGAATAATCAAATAGGAAATAAGGAGTGATTTGGCATGAAAGTAAAAGTCCTTTTTTCGATGACTGCAATACTGCCATCAGGAAATTTGTGGATATAAATAGATTGGGTACATGTGTATGTTCGAAAGTGTGATTATTAAATGTAATATGTGCAATAAACCGACAAATTGAATAACAATTAAACCGGCTGTATGGAGCAGTTTTCATATATATTCTTGATTTTTGTCAATATGTATGACTGACTTTCCATTGCAATCAGCACTTCCTGTTCATGGTTGCAGCATACTTGTTCTTCTTTGACGTATCTCGTTTTACAAGTAAATGGTTTACACCTATTAATTGCATTTGTATTGCTTATTTAGTATGTCTGACCATACTGATATGCGCTATGACAAGGCCTCATTTTCTCTTTGGAATAAATAGTCTAATAGAGATTATACCACATCTGCCTCAAATGTTAAGTTTGTCAAATTCTTCATCTTGGTCCTCCCACTTGTCCTAGTTTTTTTCTTTAAGGTGAGTAATTTGTAATTGAAAAAAGACGGCTTATTTTGCATATATTTTACATACCTACCCAATTCCTTCTCGCCTTCCAAAACACCTTCAAGTGTAGGTTAACTTACTACTCCGCACAGATTTGTCTAACATGTACTTTCAAATGTCTTTGATATAAATACTGAACTTCTTAAAAGTTGTATCGCAATAACCATAAACAGCTTCTGAAAATCTATGATTTGACTATCATTATTCATTATAGTTCATTATTCATTATAGTTCATTATTCATTATAGTTCGCGCCACAAAATGTATTCCTTACTAATTTCAGCATATTGAGCCTATAAAAATATGTTTGGCTACGCCTGAAAGTGATCAGGGAAATGAGAAGCGAAGAATGAAGCTGAAGATTCTTTTGCGACCAAAAAGATGCAACTGATTCATGAGCGATACCTCATCCGTCAGGATGTCGACAAAAGGGAAGATGATGTATATTTTTGTTTTGTACATGAGAAAATTGATCCAAAACAATTTGTTGGAAGAATACTCTGTCTAAGTTGACATTTGCAAGACCGGCACGGGAATCACGTATCTTGAAAAGTGACATTATGCCGATTTTTTTTGACATTATGCTGTTTTTTTTGACATTATGTAGGTTTTTCTACAAGATATTAACTTAGCACTTAGTTGTACGTGTTGCCTAATCGTCATGAGGCTTGTTATCTGATGTGATGTAAAATCTGCTTCTGAGATGGCATTACTTTAGGTCTAAGTTGTGTTGATGATAATTATATTGGGTTCTTGTCTCAAATACACTTAATTGAGATTCAAAGCTAGTTGCGCATCCACTTTTTCTTATCAATTCTGGAAATTACATATACAAATTTGCTCAATTTCAAAAATGAGAGAGATAAGAAACAATTATATTCACTGTACACTGTCAAATTACATGCTAACAGTAATTACACAAAACGCGGGCGCGGTGATGATTTCCCGTAATTCTCCCCAACTTTTCGTAATTTATAACTTTGAACATAACCTGTCTTCAGAAAGCACAACATAAAAATAACCCATCGGGCACAGCCAATAGATATACTTCATTGGCAGCATATTCAGTAATGATGTTCTCACACGGCAAATATCACTGATTTTATACACATGCAGACCAATACACATAATCATCCAGATGCGATCTTGCTATACAACCAACTTTCTTCTCAGAGATAAAAACTATAGACAAGGACCATTTGGTCTCACAAAACATATGCTAGCAATAATGCGTGTAGTTTGGTTAAGTGATTCCTCCTTAGATGGACAGTCACAACGATCCTAGTGAGCAAACGTGGAGTTACGGTTGGCGCCCTAAAAACCAACTAGTTTGCCAGATGACATCTGACAGGTTTTTTTTGGCATTTTATACGTTTTTTACATGGTACCCCAGCGGGGAATCACTTCAGCTATTTTTTTAAAGTAAGTATGTCCTTATGCCGTAAAAAAAGTATGTATGTGTTAAAATTATACAAATACAGGGCCCCTGCACATTATGGGTTCGGTAAAAGGTGTCTGGTATTCATATCATCATCCTTATTTGCCGATTATATAAGTGCAGGGTGGCCAAAACTTGCATGGGTGGATTATTTCTCCGAAGCACAAATATTGTTGTTACTTTTTTACATCGAAGCAGCCGCGCAGGCAGAAGCCTAAATGCCAGGATACCGCTACAGCTGATAGATACTTTGATTTTTATTACACGTTCGGATAGATCAACTAATTCAGACTAGGTAGAAGGCGCCAGTCAAGGATTTGTTTGTACCATAATTCTCATCATAGTCTCTTATCAGAATCAAAGTGTCCTTCACGTAAGTCAATTTTTGTTCTATCATTAAATTCTTATTTTCAGCGTTATTTGTGGTGTTAGACGATTTCAAGTTATGATACTTCTTACAAAATTCGCAAAGAGCGCCACAAGCCTAATAAAGGTGGATGTTTCCTCCGGTAAGTATTATTACGTTGATACAGCGCTGTCACTTTGGTAGGCATTGGTAGTCAAATGAGTAAAAAGTATTCAGTAAAGCTACGCAACTTTGAGGACAAACAACGGAGTGTAAACAGATAGGCTTGGCTCATTCTAATCTATTCCAATTCACTTAGATAGACCTTCATACTTCTGAGTACTATTGAGCAGTTGTTGAGATTGTAATTATGTATTTTTTCTAATAAGTAATAAAAGTCGGACCAGCAGAACCTTGACCTTTATAATAGAGTGAACTTTCTGTAGGACATCTGATAGTTTTGCTAGTACCTAGCTTACCCGTTCCTTGAATCCTTCAAGTCTATTAGCTGTACAGGGTTCTCAAA